TGTTGTTTTAAATTGCCATGTTCTAGAGTAATTCAATAGTCAATACGAACACAGACTTTCTACTTACTACGTAGCTCACAATTGCCATCAAGGTGATTCTGACTCACAGAAATCCCAAAGGGCAGAATAGAACCACCCAGAGGGTCTCCAAGGCTGTAAACTTTCACGGAGGTTGAATACCTCATTTTTCTCCTACAGAGAGCAGTTGGTGGATTCGAACCGCTGACTTTTTGGTTTGTCAAATGCTTGAACTACTATGTCACCGGGCTGCCTTACTTACCTTGCAGTATTGTAAAGTTCTTGATGAGCTGACCATGCTTGGAGTCCACCAGCTTCATTTCTTCCATAATCACTGATAAGTTGGCCACTTCCGTGTCTAACCTTGACCTCATCATATCTTGCTGCATTCTGAGAGAAACAGAATCTAACCGGATGTTGGCCAGTGTATTATTCAAGGAGGTCAGATCATCCGTGTGCCTCGTGAGGGTGTCCGTGCAGGTGGTCCTGACTTCATTCAGGTTGCTGGTCAGTGTCCGCAGGTGGTGCGCTGTGTAACTGATGTTGCTAATAATGTTCACAATATCTGTCTCAAAGAGCTGGAAGCGCTCCTCCAGCTGGCTGAACTTGATGGCCGTCCTGTTCTCTGCCTCCTTGTGCAAGTCCTGGAGGTCTTTCAGGTTCTGCTCATTGGCTTGGGAGACTGTGGTGATGTTGTCCATCTGACCTGTGAATGAGCTGAGTTGGCTGTTCATGTCCTCCAGCGTGTCATTGTTGGCTTTGGCTAAGGCAGAGTTGTTGGCAGCCAGAGTCTGCAAGCTTTGCACTTTCTCCTTCAGCCAATCCGTGTCCTTTTTAGCTTGGAGGAACACCTGCTGCAGATTTTGGAAGTCGTTCTTGATTCGCTGGATCGCCTGGCTGGTGTCATCTACAGAGCGCTGCAGGTTTGTGATTAGGTTCCTCTGCTGCACCTGGGTCAAGTTCAAGTTGTTGAGGTTCATGATGACCACGTTATGGGAATACATCTGGTTCTGGAGATTTCCTTGGAGAACACTGGTGTCTTGCTGCAGATTGGTCACATAGCCATTATACGCCTGCAGGGTTTTGTTTACAGTCGTAATGAGGAAAGAGTTATTCTCCAGCGTTTCTTTCAGCTGGCTCTGCCTGTCCACCAGGGCATCGCCACTGGCCTGTAACTTCTCCAAGGTAGCTCTGTTTTTGCTGGTTTTCTCCGTGATCTCATTAAGTTGTTGACGCAGATCTAGAATGTCCGATCGGAAGGTAGAGAGTTCCGAATTGGTGCTTAGAGCCTTCTTCCCGGTCTGGTCCCCTGAAACACAAAATGTTTCTATTTAAAATGAGAGCCTAGAAAAGAGCTCAGGTGACACCAAAAATCGCAAACAGACTGAGCTGGCAGGCACTCAGCTGCTGATATCAACTCTGTGGTTTATGCTAACTGGTCTGCATTAGTAAAATCCACACACAAGTGTAATGAGATATATTACAGGTTCTGTTTGAGACCTGACCACAAGAAAGTGAGCATTACAATAAAGCTAGTCTCAAGAGTGTTTGGTTTCCCAGTGCCCTTAAGGTTATTTACACTATTCTGTGTAAATGTTCTATGGCCTATTAAATATGAAATAACTTTATGGAAACATTTTAAATATCCTGAATGTGGAAAAAAATGTGCCACAGACACACAAAATGAGCACGTGCTGCTGAGAAAACGTTGCATGAAGACTTGCTTGATGCAGGGTTGCCCCAAACCGTCATTTATTTTAAAAACTAATATCTGTAAAGTACAAAGTGAAGTGCAATAGAACAAAGTCAGTCTATAGTTACTACCTGGAGTGCTTGGGCATCAGAAGGGGGTTTTTAGTACCTGGGCCAAAGAGGGAGAAGGAGTTGTCCTTATTTCTTGGTCACTCCCTATGATGTGAGGCACTGTGGTGGTACAGTCTGTAGTTTGCTTTCCTGCTAACCAAAGGCCCTGTGTCTCTAGTAGTTCAAATTCACCAGCAGGAGAATGCTGGGCAGACTCCTCCTAATAAAATTTACAGCCTCAGAAATCAACGGAGGACTGCTATGAGTTGAAATTTTCCTGATGCCAGTGATTGAGTAAGATACAATGTCAGAAAGAAAATAAAGTATTGTTTTTGAAGTTGAGTGAGATTCTTTTTCTTCTCTTTTTTAAAGATGAAAACAATCAAAGGACAGAATAGCCTAGCAACTTTTAACTTTGTAGGCTCTGAATTTCTGTAATTCGATGCAATTTTGTTCATATTTGTATTTGAATTTTGTAAAAAAACTAGTAGAAAAAAATATTGCACAGAAGATTTATATTTACTGAAAATTTAAAAATGAGTTTTTAACAAAGATATGTGCATACTTTTAGATAAAACTGAGCTTCAGATTTTATTTGACACACAGTAGTTTTATCAGAAAGCTGGACAATGACTAAGAATGAGAGAAGGAGAATTGATGCCTTTGAGCTGTGGTATTGGGGAAGAGTATACCAAGAAAATACCACGGACTGCTAGGAAAACAAACAGGTTCATCTTGCAGAGGGTGAAACCAGGCTACTCCTTTGAGGCAAGGATTCTGAAGCTCTGTCTCACATATTTTGGGCATACTGGCTGGGAGGGATCAGACCTTGGAGAGGTATATCATGCCTGGAAGGGTGGAAGGACAGTGAAAGACAGGAAGACCCTGGATGAAATGGATTGACTCACTGGGATCATGGGGGTAGGTGTGTTAGAGACAATGATGTTGGCTCAGGATAGAGCAGGGTTCTGAGCTCTTGTATATAAGGAAGTACTCAACATATAAACACAAAAATCCAGTGTTCTTTTGAGTGAATGTAAATTTATAGCAATGTCCTTTTAAAAAGCTGTGCCTTGATCCACAGTATGTTAATACATTAATTTCAAGGTTCTCTTGCATTGTAGGTCGATTATTTAATAAAAAATTTAATTAGGTTTTCATAGACATTTACAGAAATGTTGGGTTTTCACTTACTCCTTGTTGCACATCTCCTTTCCTCCCTCTGGTCCCTTACCTAATTTTTTTAGGTCGCTTTCCACGGCTGTGAGTTTGTCATCATAGGTCTGGCGGGATGTCTCCATGCCACCTGTAACATTGTCCATTTTCTCTACAACTGAAATGTGGAAAACAAGGCATTAATATCCATATTTACCTGTTTATGTTTTAATTTTCAGTTTCAAGATGTCAGAATATTTCATTAATGAATAAAATTAACACACTGAAGGGGGAAAAAAGGACAATATAATGGCAATAAAAGTCATCCTTTTAGAGAGAGAAATATTTGCAACAAAACCTAGTGGAAGTTTACTTGGTCTAGAACTGTGTGTTAGTGACTGTCTTAGGATTTTTTAACACACTATTTAAAAAATGGTATGGAACTATCTTAAAATTTTTTTATTTATCAAAATCTGTAGTATTTCCTATGAATTTCCACTGTAGAGACACAGAACACTGTTAATAGTTTAAAAGTATGCCACTCTTCAGAAGCCCTAAAACTCCTGGGAGGTAGGATTCTTTTATTAGGAGACTCATTGGCAAAAAGCACCCAGCTGGTCTGTGCACTAAGTGGCGGCAGAAGGGACTCAAAGACCACTTTCTCACAAGTTCTGGCACTGAGGCGAAAAAGTCTGCCTCTCTCCAGTGACAACAGAATGTCTGGTTCACCAGTTCCCAAGAAGATGACCGAACAGTGTTTCCAAACAATGATTTACCAAGAAGATATTACATTTTGGTATTTTTTTGACTCCTCATGGTAGAAAAAGTTAGCAACATGCGACCAAGAAAAACTTTGTGTTCTCAGAAGGCAGTAAATATCTACTGGTCAAGTTCGTCTTTCTAAAATGTCTTTAAAGAATGTATTTCTTCAGAAATGACTAAGAGACTCTACTCCTAGCAGCTTGGGGCCAATCTGACGGTTCTTAATGTAAACAGGCTGTCTTTTGTAAAAAAAGAGGTATTTTTGTACGATGATGCTTGGCAAAGTCCTTTAGAGCCCCTGGACCCAGCGTATTTTGATTCACCACGCACTCTGCCCACACACGGCAGTGTGACAGGCTGCTCCTGGGTCCTGTCAGGAAGCAGAAGGACGCTCCCATGTGTTTGTGTGACCTGAAGTAAACCAACCGACTCAGCGGATCTGGCACGGTCCCTGGAGAAACTTACCACACTTTCCCCTCAAACTTTTACAGCCGGATCATCGTGAAATATGTGCACTGCACTGAAGGCCCCTTCTCTCTGTAAGCCATTCCATGTGTTCCTCCTGCCACCTAGAACGGATTGTGTTCTCTGGCCTCTGCAGGAAGGTAAGTCCTATTTATGCCTCAAAAGGCGAAAGTTCGTCCCTTCTTGTGGGAAACCATCATGAGATGCATCTTTCCAGAATTCTCCTATCAAGTCATCCTGCGCCTACTGCAGGCCTCACTGCCTGGCGCTGCTAATGGCTTAAGCAGTCATCTTGAGCGGCCCTCAAGTTGGCCCCTCGACTCATAGAATAAAAAGCTGCCTTGTCCTGTGTGCTGGCACAATTTGCAGCTAGTACTATTATGATCCATAGAGGTCTCATTGGCTAATTTTCAGCAGTAGATTGCCAGGCCTTTCTTCCTGGTCTACCTCAGTCTGGAAGTTCCACTGAAGTCTGAAGTCACAGTACCACACAAGCCTCCACTCCACTGATGGGGGATGGAGCTGGGATTTGTGTCTACTGAGTGGGAAGCTGGAATGCTGACGGTGATTCACCACTCTATCTTTAGGGTCATATAAGTGCAGGAAGGTTTGTATTCATAGTTTCAGCCTTAGCTCTTAGCTCAGTGTGTGGAACTTAGGTCTTCAATAAACACTTGGTAAAATACTCCAGTGAGCAAGTGAGAACTTGCCTGCTAGCTGCTGATGTCTGTGAAGATCTGGCTCATTGAGAGGTTATGATAACTCACACCCAGACAGACAACCCAGGGACGAGTGAGCCCTGACAGTGAGTATGATATTTAGTTGAATAACTATGGGTTTTCCCACCCCCTCCCCAAATTAGTTTCTGACTCAAAGCTTGTCAGAGGCTGTAAATCACACAGGGGGTGGGGGGTGGGGAGTGACTGCTCTTTCTCCACTGGTGGATTCGAATCACCAGAAGGGAGCTTCTTTGGGATAGCAGCACAGCTAGCTATGCCCCCAAAGCTCCCTACTTTAATCACTACATGGTGTTGTTATGTGCTTTCAAGATGGAACTGACTTATAGCTGATCCTTCAGCAGGTTTTCAGAAACTATCTGCTGTATATCACACCTCCCATGGAATGCCAAAAAACACAGAGGGGTGCCCTGGAAAGGGAGCAGCCAGAATGCTCCTTGGACAAAGCTCTGTCTTTCATATTTTAGACATGGAGCTAGGTGAGGGACACCATGCTTGGAAAGATGGAGGGTCAGTGAAGGAGAGGAAAAGCCCCCAAAAGAGGGGTTGATACTGTGACTTCAGCAATGAGCTCGACTGTCGCAGAAATGATGAGGATTGCACAGAATAGGGCAAGTTTCAGGTTGGCTATCCATAGTGTCACTATGAGTCGTACACGCCTCGTTGGTACCTAACAACAACATATGTCACATAAGAGGAGATTTTCCATCATTTCTTCTCAGAGCTGCTAATGGATTCAAACCTCCTCCCTGTGGGTTGGCAGCCCAGCTCCCTATGGACTGGGCCCCCAGCACTCCCCAATTACTCTATAGGCACAAGAGGGATTAGTGTATCACCATGTGTAGCTCAGATGGTCTTACAGCCATGCGTCCCCTAAATCCCTAGAAGTCCTCAGGAACAAAATGTTTCACTTGCATCTAAGCAAAGCTAGATTTCTCAAAACGAAAAGATGGCATGTTTACAAGTTTAGGTTCAGTTTTGATCCTCAAATCCAAACATATGTCTCCGTCTGTCCTCAAACCACATGAGGATTTTAGCCCTGCCCTTGTTTCCTGGAAGCCAAAGACACTGCTAAATACGCTGACAGGCAGCTTCCAGCCTCTGTAATTTTTATTCCATTTTTGTTTCAAAAACACAGAATGGCCGTGAACAAATAAGGTTTGCTTCGAATAAAAGGAATAATTTTTTTTTTTTAAAGGGGAAAAAACTCCAAACAAAAATCCAACAAACTGTTAGTTTTCTCTTTTCCTGTAGCAAGGAAGTAAATGATTTACCCTGACCCACAAGTGCTAATTAACTAGTTACACGCACCGGGGTGTGTGCGTCTGCGTTTAAAAATAGAACCTCGGTGTGAAGTTCCAAACTCGAGGTGGCAGCATGCCTACTACGCACAAACAGCGGACTGACTGAGTTCCAGAACTAACGCTGTGTAGCAGCAACAATGCACTGTAGTTGGTCCTTAACTCTTAGTACCACAAGTTCTCAGTCAGGAAAATTGTGCAGAGCCGTCCTATCCTGCCCTGGAAACTCTCACTCTATCACTGAAGACTTGGTTTATATAACCCACTGTCACAAAAGGAAAAACCAAGAACTGAGGTCTACCATCAGTTCATTTTCCATGGAGCCTCTTACGGAGGATTGTGTATTTTTTCTTTTTTTCTTTTCTTTTTTTTTGTTTTCTTATGGTAAGCATTATAAATGACAGCAGTTGTCATTTCAATCATTTTCATGTGTAGAGTCCTGTGGTATTAATTATATCCTCACGTTGTATAGCTATCACAACCATCTATTTCCAAATTTTCTCATCACTCTTTAATAGGAACTCCATGCCCCTTTAGCAAAACCTCCCCCTCTTCTCTTTCCTCCAGCCCCTGGTAACAACAAATAAACTCTGGTCTCCACGTACTTGTCTATTCGAACTATTTTGTGTAAGTGGGAGCATATGATATTTGTCCTTCTGTGTCTTCACAAAATTTCACTCTGCATAATGTGTTCAAGGTTCACCCATGCTGTAGTGTGCACCAGACCTTTATTTCTCGATGATTAATATTCCACTGGAGCTCCGGTGGTCCAGTGGGTAAGGAGTTGTGCTGTCAAACCCAAAGGCAAGTGGTTTGAATCCACCAGCTGCTCTGCAGGAGAAAGATGGGCAGTCTTCCCCAGTGCAATTTAGTCTCTGAAAACCCACTGGAGGGTCAGCTATGAGCTGGTTCCAACTTGATGGCAATGGGAGAGGCAGAGGGCTGGGGGGGGGGAGAAGTGGAGAGGGAGAGAGGATTACCACTTGTTTATCAATCTATCTGTTGATGAATATGTGGGCTATTTCTACCTTTTGTTACTTAGTGTTACTGAGTCAGTTCCAAGTCATGGCTCTACCAGGCATGAGAGAAGGGAACAGTGCCCAGTCCTGGGTCATCCTCAGAACCACTGCTGTATGTGTGAGTGCACGGCTGGAGCCATTGTGCCAATGCATGTTACTGAAGGTCTGTTTCACTGACCTTCTTACTGACCTTCTTACTTTACTAAGCATGAAGATCTTCTCCAAGGCCTTGTCCCTTCTTCTCAGATGTCCAAAGTAAGTGACACAAAGTTCCACCATCCTTGCTTCTTTAATTTTTTTTTTTTGCATTAAAGAGCCCCCTGCCCCCATTCCTATACATTGTCTTTCACACATTTCTTCATTCATGTGTTTTCATAGACTGTATAAAACCATCCTAGCTTCTGTCTGTGGAGCATTCTGGCTTCATTTTACCCAAGTTGGGTTTGACTGTTCTTCACCAATATAATATTTCAAAGGCATCAATTTTTCTCAAGTAATTGTCATTTGCTGTCTAGCTTTTGTAGGCATATATGTCCTTACTGAAAATGACAATGGCTTGGGTCAGGTGAACCTAAGCTTCAAAGCAACATTCTTTTTTAAAAATGTTAATTTCTTGATCCTTCTACTGATGAACATCTGGATTGTTTCTAGTTATTTTTTCTCATAAAAAAAATTTATATTGGTTTGCACATAAAAAATTGTATATAATGTGTATCATTCATAGGCAGCTCTGGTGGCCTAGTGGCAAGAAGATGCACTGCAATCCAGAAGCACATGGTTCGAATGCACCAGCCGGGAGAAAGATGGGCAATCTCCTCCAGTGCGATTAACTAGCTCTGAAAACCCACCGGAGGGATCAGCTATGGGTTGGTTCTGACTCTCTGGTACACAAGA